CTGTCAAAATACGCAGTATATACTTAACGGTGGAATTTGGTTTATATTTTAATTAATTACATAGTAGTACACTTTAATTACAAAGTATAGTAGTAGAAAACAAGTTCTTCTAAATAATGTCATATACGACAGAGAGTGTGTAACAAAAACCTTAAAATTAAAAAAAAAAATCCCCCTTTTTTAGTCTACCTGTGATCACGGCTGCTGCAAAGCACTGAAATGTCGGGCCGTAGTTAATATAAGTTTAACTATATCTATCGCGTTTTAAACCGTTAAAAGTGTTTTATTTAAACGTACTACTCGTAAACTAGCCGATAGTATTTAAGTGAGAATATCTATCGCGTTTGTCTCCGTAGGTGTTATATTAATGTAATCCGTTTTCTAAACGGTGTGTGGAAAATCTGGCCTTGGATGGATATGAAAATAGTATTACCAAAATTACGTCTGGATCAGGGCTATTATCTATTGAGCCGTGATGTGCATGATTTGGTAACAGTCTGTGAATTTCCGAACATCCAAATCTAAAATGGATTGACAGCAGATATATCATAATTACTCAAAAATACTAATTTTAAAATAAATCTTTTATATGAACATATTCTCATTTTTCTAAAATCCTACCAATTAAAAGCTCCAATTAAAATCTTTTGTTAGTCTTAATTTTATATTAGCATATAATCACGAACAAGTATAAATATATATGTTTATATTTTAAAGAATCGATGATATTTACCGTGCTACTGTTTTAACCAATTGGCTAGCTAAATAGTTTATTAAATGAAATAATTTCATCATATGCACGTTGTAACTCAGAAATAATAAACTTTTCAAAGTTGTACCATAATTTCAAAGATCGTCACTTTTTATACACTAATATAGAACTTATACACTGATAGAGAAATCTGTAACTAGGGTTCGCAATTGTTAACCATACTTATCAATCAAAGTGTTATTGCAACAATTAACTTTTTTTTCTATACAGTAATCTATCTATGGTTAGAAGTTGATATTCTCAACAGAAGATTACAACCAACGGTTAAATCTATCTATGAATATAGAAACGCAAAACTTCAAGAATTTTAACTATCAGTTTTTATCAAGATTTTAAGTTCTAGTTAAAGGTAAGTTGTAAATTAGGACTGGCCATAAATGCTTCAGGCCCTACACATTTCTTTCAAGTAAAAAAGCTATCACATTGCAATTCTGTGACAAAAAGGCGACATCCCATATCGAATGAGGAAATGTATTCAAGGGACTCGTTTCGGATTCCGTCCCACGCATGTGTCATAGACAGTGGCCCTCCGGGGACCAAGGTAGACGGACAAAAACTGAATATTGCAGATATGTTCACATTATTGCCGCGCGGTCCCGTTATAAGGGACGGCACGGTTTGATCTTATATTTTATTGATTCAGAGAACTTACATAACTTTTGACGGTTTCGTTGATCTAATGGTAGGATATAATAATAGCGGGGGGGATCCATCGTGGGGTTTGATCCCCACCGGGTCCAACTGTAACAAATACTGAAATTTGGATATTATATAGATGGGTCACGAACTACCCTCCAACTACGATAAAAAGGCCATGCTGTTTAAAATTTCAAATCTGCGAATATTCGAAGCGAAAATATAGATGGGGAATTTACTTCCACCAAGTGAATTCCATGGTTATCCTTCTGAAAAAAAAAGATTGAAACTATTTAAATAATTTTGTGATAAGTAACTTTTAGACTTTCATGAGTATATAAACTCACCATACCGCCAAAAGAAACACACAGGTTCTACCAAAAAATACCTGTGTCTTTCTTTGCATTTGATGTTTATCTTCTTAGAATAACTCTATTCAATAAAAACACCTTTTTGACAAACACTATTAGTGTTTATTGTAGCACTACTATACGTGATGAAACAAATAATTATTTTAAAAAAGGGGATTTGGATTTTGCAGATTCCTACTTAGTATATAATTTAATTAAACTAGAAATGTGCGAAACAAATAAGATACATTTATCACGTAAAACGTAAATGATATTTATATATTATGTAAAAGAACTTTTATTATAACATCAATATCATACCTATTTAAATGATATTTTAGTAAAAATGTTCTGAAATTACGTCGTAAAAATATTGTTTAAGACTCTTATACCATAAGAATACCGTAGCACAATATTTTCATAAAGTTATTGAAAGGGTAAATATCCGGAATATTTCTATCAAATAATTTCCTCAAACAATGAACACTCGACCTAATACATAATGGATAACAACCTCGTAGTTTCAATAAAGGATTTTTTGCATACCTCTTACGTTTTGTGATATTGTAATGTCGCTACAATTTATCCTCCCTCTATTCGGCTCATATTTTAAATGATAATATTATCCATTCATAGCAATACTTTGGGATAATAATGTTATATTGGATTTTATTTAGCTGCTTTTTTCAATTGCTTTTCATAACATTGTATACCTACTTATCGCAGATTATTTTGTGTGACGTCGTAAATACTAATTTTTGTTGGTGTCGGGGTCCGAAATTTTAAAGTAGGTTGCTTTGGTAGTTTACCAATAATACGTTATAATATTACGTCTTATACTCGCATTTTTCAATTGCTTTTCATAATATCAATAATTGAATTAATATTTGAATTTGAATAATATTACATACCTACTTCTCGCAGAGTATGTAAATTACGTCATAAATAATATTTCCATTTTAGTTGATGTAGGGGAAAGAAATTTTATAGTAGGTTGAAAGAATCTTACTCCTAGCTAACCAGTGGAAGGTTATCAAAATTTCCACCTTAACTTATAAAATCGAACCAGCATTCATCACAATATAAACCATCTTAAGTTGTGCCACAAAAGTCTTGGTTTTACTGTACGAAGAGCTTCAATTAGTGCTATCTCGAATTGTAACAGATAAACAGATTATTTTCGGGTTGTTGAACTAAGTAGCGAACAGACTCGTTACGAGGGAAGCGGTTCAATGGTACAATGTTGGAGCGAATCTGATCTTAAATGCAAACCGCGAGCCAAAGAATCTCATTAGCGAGACGACTCCGCCACCTAGGTACGCGGTGTTATTCTGGTATTACTCAGATTCGTACCATGACCAATATAAAACAATAATGTTTTAATCCTACTGCTTTAGGAGAAACCGAGATAGTTAACCTTTTTCGTATAGTGTCATCACTTTCGCACAGTGTTCCGAAATACGCGCTTACAGTTAAGATAATAGAATACGAAATCTACATATACGTGTGTATTTTGTAGCACTCGTAGCCCCGTCGTAGCATACATGCTACGCGGACACTCACACTATTAATATGTTATCATCACGCAAGCGACGTGCTCTTTACTTTCTAATAATAGCAATGCTATAATCAACGGGTCATGGGTTCGATCACCAACGGATCAAATATGATTTTAATTTTTCAATTTAGAATTTTTCTGAAACATGTTGGACTTCGTCTGAAAATAAATATTAAATGGGTACCACTAATAAAAATGTATGAAGTTTAATCGCGTTCTGGTTTCAGTCTGTGGAGATCCACATATCCAAAACCAATATAGGGCGACAGCACATTATTGTTTACATGGTATGGCTGGGGTATTTCACCTACCATCAAGTGCACCTCGTCGATCATAAAAAAATATTTGTCACTCATCGACCAGAATAAGCCCACCGCGGGGCGTTGTGAAGACATCGCGTTTGCATTCGTAGCAGTTCGCTCATTGGAAAATCACCTCCGTCCACTGAATACTGAGCGACGCGGCCTTCCCGTGTATTAGCGACGAAACATTCCCTCACGCTGCATACCAAATAGAATTTATTTTATAAACCCAGAGATTTTATGGTAATTGCAAGTCTTACATGAATTTATGGTATGTTTACTATTTAAACGAAGGTTAATGTTTCTCCAAAGCCAAAGGTTGAAAATGTAGGACTAGATAGAAGATGGCGCCACAGCTCATTTGCGACGAATCTCGCTCGCACTCATTTGTTATAGAAAAAACTTATTGTTGAAAATTTTAATGATTAAGTAGACATCCAGTAGTAATAAAAAGTATTATGTAAATCCAATTTTGTATTCTGCAATAATTTTTCGCATTTAAATTTATATTATTTGATTATTTTTTAACTTTTAAATAACAAACTACGTTATTTATTAATTATATTTTTACTCACACATCAACATACTCTTTCGTTTCTTCGAATTATTTTTGGTGTATTCTCCTCTTCTATGAACGCGCGAAACAAATTCTTTTTACACGTATAAACTCGCGACAAAAAAATACATTGAAAAGCGCCCATCAAAATGATTTCTCTAACAACGGCAATCGTCCATTCAAAAAACTTGTACAATTTTGTACGCGGCCGTCATTGGACCCACATCACTCGCACAATACTCTCATGTACGCCATTTTGAAGAAAAATCACCGCTACCCGCGTGACAAATGAAATCGAATTTTCCCTCCATTTTAATCATATTTATTTTGCCCAAGACCGGCTGCTTGTTAACACGAATCACCATTATCTATTTTTATACATCTCAATCTCTTTTTATATTATAAACAATATTTTACAAATTATACAGTAAAATTAACGTATAATCCTGGCTTAATTTAAAATAAAGTTTTGAATACAAGACATTAACATTGAGTTCAAATATAGTTACAAAGAACGAATGTGGTTCTAAGAATTTTCTTAACTAAGGAATCTTACTTATCCCGAACTGCTCTAACGTCATTAATGACAGGAAAAGTCTTATGCACTTGTTTGTAAATATTTCTTTCAATTCGATCTTAAGTACAGTTGTGCATTTAACTACGTGTGAAATCATCGTGTATTGTTGTATTTAACTGAAACGGAAAATAGAATATTGCGAACTAAATAAAAATAAAAATGTGTAAATCGCTAAACGAAGAGTGTAAAATGAGCTGATCTATGTTTTTGACGAAAAGTCTTTAACCTAAGAAGCGTATACAAGTTAAAATGGGTTTAATGAGAAGTTTGAAATATAAAACTTTAATACACATGTTTATTCTCCCTATATGTATGTATATAGTGCTAAAATCCGCGCGTAAAGAGGCACCCGAAATAAAAGAAATTACAAGATTTCTTACCGATGTTAAACATATTTTATTATGGACGGACATCCACGGTCTAGAACCGGAAGGCCAGACATACTTCCTGAATAAAAAATGCGAATATATCAACTGTTATTTCACCAAGAACAAGAGCCTCTTTGGTGATATAGGGTATTTTGATTTGATTTTGTTCAATGTTCAAGATGTGAGTAGACATACCAAACACCTTCCGAGGAGCAGAATTTATAACCAGAAGTATGTGTTCGTAGCGAACGACTCGGCGGATAATTATCCAGTCTGTGACGCTATTTACGACGACTTTTTCAACTGGACTTGGACTTATCGGTATTTTAATATAAATAACTTAAACCATAGAGTAACTGTAGAGATAAATCTTGTGACATTATTAAATGTCTATTGCAGTCTTAGCATAACTTCTGCTCAAATACCGTGGTAAAACTTTACTCTACAATTATAATTGTTTCACAATATTATATTCTCTTATTATTTTCTTATTTCAATAGCCAATATCACAAATTCAATTTTATTGACGTACTACTAAAACTTTTAAGTGCTTTTATTATTATATATTATCATATTGTATTTTGTATACTTTAAATTTTAATATACAGTCTTACGGTAGTTTATATTAAGTTATTAGTTAAATATCTAAACTAATCAAAAGATGGTCACACTTAAAAAGTAGCGACCAATTTTAGTGTGCAATTGTTACGCAAAGTTTAATGTAATAATGTGGTATGATTTTTAAACAACAATTTTCTTTCAGATATGACTCGACAATCTCCTACCGGTTCATCACAATATACAATTCGGCATACGAAGAACTGGGCAGCCATTTTCAATGGAAGCGTAATATGAAACCAATTGACGAAAAAATAAAATCGCAGTTGTCAACAAAATCCAAAGCCGCCATAATCTTTCTGGATAAATGCTTTAGTAGGAGTAGAAGAGAAATCTTCTTGGGAGAGCTTAAAAAGGAATTGCAAAAACTAAATTTGGAAGCAGACATTTTTGGTAAGAACGAGTAGTAAATTGATAAATATATTAGTACATTATTATTGTGATTAAGGCTATGACGTCAAGCATGTTTGAAAATACGTACGGCATTGGTTTTTTTTCCACGCGCAATTCAACAGAGTGTTTAACGATTCCACTATACATATATTTTACTATTTATTTGTAACAATTATAAACAAACTTTCACAAATGGATAGTAAAATAATTCACACACCTATATTAAAGTAATTTACATTGTTCGCGCTAGGTGTACAAACGTACTTTAAAAGAAAACAACTCAAGTAACGATGAGGCGGGCTCGCGTGTAATGCTATGTGTGGCTAATAATCATCGGGTCCTAGGTTCGATTCCCGCCGGAGCCAACATTATTCTAATAAATTTATAATTTTTCAATACAGTCTTTCTGGATATGGGAATCTGGATAATAAATGGGTAGGAATATCAAAATTCCATCCGGGTGACGAACCACCGCCGTGAAGTTTCGGATGCTTTGCAGCAGCCATTGTCACGGAGACCCTCTCTTCCCGTCGGGCCGAAGTTAAAAATCATTTTCAAATAAGTTAACTATATCGCGTTTTAAACCGTTAAAGTCTTGTATTTAAATGTGTACTACGTACTACTCACGTAAACTATGGACAGTATTTAAAAGTAAAATAGCAAATATTAAATTGTAACGGAACAAAAATGTGCGAATCATTATTATTCTTTGCTATTATAGATACTCAACTGTTTGATGTTGTTCAGGTAAATGCGGTACGAAGGACTGCAGACGCAGAACAATGCAGCCGTGCTACTGGCGAGTCAAGAAGATGTACTACTTCTATCTCGCTTTTGAGGACTCTAAGTCACTCGATTATATTAGTGATATTGTTCTGAACGCGTATAACAATTACGCGGTTCCTATCGTATATGGAGGAGCTGATTATGATAGGTAAAAAAACAATAAGTTTACCTGGTTGGTCCAACGGCTGGTATTCAATGTTAAATTAAAAAGTCGTGAATTCAGTTCCCGCATAAATCAGTAGCTTTATTTTCTCATAAGCAAAAAGCCGTTAAAATTGTTACTATGAAAACCACAACGTTAAAAGCTAAAATATATTACGGGTCATAGCGTGATGTTATATAGCCTTCCTTAATAAATGGTCCATCCAACACAACAAAAAGTGTATCCATTCGAACCAGTAGGTCCTGAGATTAGCAAACTCATACAAACACTTCAATTCTGATTGATATATTATTAATATAGATTTATTTTTTGTTTTAACAGATTTCTCCCACCAGGTTCCTATATAGATGCAGGTAACAAATCTATGTTAGATCTCGCAAGGAATATGCACAATATTATACATAACAGAGAGTTGTACTACGACTTCTTCCGATGGCAGAACCACTACATCATCAGCAAGTCTTCTCCGGTTGACGCATGCGAGCTGTGCGCGTTCGTGAACTACCCAGCGCGATTGATTCACAGGTCCTCTTATAAGAAATTCAGGAAATGGTGGAACCCTGAGTTTGAAAGGCGATGTGAGGAGTCTAATCAATATTCGATGTTATAGATTATAAAATACCCTTATATTAGGTTAACAATATTTGCCTTTAGTGATCTCCGATTTCTTATGCCAAACACCTAAAAAATATAATGTCTAAGTATTTTTGTTTGCCAAAGTTCTTAATTTATAAAAATTAAATTTTGTTTTTGACATTGTGGTTTTTAAACATAATAGAAAATAAAAATCCATTTCTCTTGAAAAATATAATCGACAAAAACTTTAATTTATTCCACGACTATTATAATTACAAAAAATAAAACACCAAACAAAAAGAATAATTCGACCTACGGAGGGAAATTCATTCAACAGAATCACATCCATTCCACAAACAGGGATTAAAACTTTAAATTATTTTAACAGATTAAAATGTATGATAACACAGCGTATTCATTGGATATCGTTGACACTTCGGGTCCCTTGTTAATCTAACTTTAAATCCTGTAGTTTATAATAATTTACCATCATTGATACCGTTGAGGGTATATTGAGAAAATTAAATACTACGTTGGATCCTTTTGTATTTAAATTTCAGATTTTTATTAAATCCCATTATATAAACTGGAAAATGTGATCACTCTTATGTTTTTACAATTAATTAAACATTAAATGAAGGAAATACTAACTTAGACTTATTCATTTTAAAGTTTAAAATTGTTATATGCTTGTGTTAAGTGCCTATTTTCACTGAATATAAAAAAATGGAAACAGTTGGACTCTTGAAAAATATACAAACTTAATTGATACATTTACTATAGAAAGATTATACTTAGTATAGATTTTGTATACCTACATTTGTTTAACTAACCAGCCAAGTAACCGAGTCGCACTTGGCTGATTTTATTATAAGCTGCAACTGAATAAAATATCTTCCTCTACGAAGATGGTAAAGACGCCGATACACTCAACTATTTAGCGGTAAGTCGGCAAGTCTGACTCCAACTATTGGAAAGCCGTTGAAACTGTTCGTTCCCTAATCCCGCTCCATTTTTAATAAGACCTCAGAGCTCGAGGGGATTTCAAATTGCACTAAGAGGTCTGTTTTGAAACGAATTAAACCGCTGCAGAATTTTTTATCGTGAATAGAATACTTACATTGGACGGGCCAATATGTTCCAATTTTCAATTTCTAAAACATGTTGGACTGGAAATCTGGATATTAAATGAGAAGTAGGATTATCAAAAATCCGCCAGTTCCACAAAAAATCACCGTCCACAAATAAAAATCCGTGAAGTTTAATCACGTTTCGGCTTCTGTCTGTGGATTTCCGAATATACAAAGCCAAAAAAGGGGTACAGTGCATCTTGCTTAGATGGCTGGGACATTTCATCTCCTATCCTAAATGAACCCCAACTTGACTATCCTCTATTTAAAAAAAATCAAGAAAGTTATTGAGTAGATATCTTTATAAAGTATTACATTATGTATCTGTAGTTTTTAACATCTACACTGTATTTAGTCTGTATGTCTACATTGTCTCTTTCTGTACTATGGTAACTTGTCAATCTTGTATATCGTGATGGCTTCGTGCTTTTATTAATATTAAACGTGTGATACAGAATTCTAACAGAAGTTTTACTAAAATACTGCATAATCTCAATAAAAGTAACAATATTTACTATGAGTTTTATTTTATATTATAGATGGCCCTACAAATCCTCTACCATAATTTCATATTAATTAAGCATTTTTTCATCGTTTTTTACACAGATGTTGTGTACCCATTTTACTTTTTCGTATTCGTGAAACATTTATTTCCAGTATGAGTGACAATCAAGATCTCAAATAATGAGCGAGCATTTTTATTTTTTCAAACATGAAACATGTGCGCACACATACACATATAAAATTATTATTACTTACAAATAATCACCCCCCACCTAAATGTTGAGTTAAGTTCATACTGTGATATACTTATTAAGAACTTATTGAAAATTCGCAAACGTATAACTTTCTCAAAAACAGAAAATGATATTTACGTAACGTTCATAGAATATAAAAGATAGGTAATTTAAGAACATAAAGGTTGGTCGGTTCCGAGAACTCTTAATAGGGCTGGCTGTTTACCTAAGACGTAGTTTCCTAAAGTTCAGACTGAAAATTATCCAAAGTTCGCGCGCCACTATCCACAGAATATTAACAGTTTTTGACTTGCATAAGAATTATTCTACAACGTTACTCATAGAGTTCTCTATATTTTAGTACTATTTTATTATTTTAGTTGCTTTATAATTTCCTTTTTTTGGGTGTCTCATTATGTTACATAATAACGGTAATAATACTTTGTCTGCATCATAACCTTTATAAAAAAGTTAACACGCCGATAACCACCAATAACAACATATTATAGTGGGAGTTAGATTACAAAAATTTGGTCTAAAAAGGCGCCGGTGAGATTCGAACTCACGATCTCCTGTTTACTAGACAGGCGCTTTAACCAACTAAGCCACGGTGCCAACAAGGGTAGCTGCGAAAATGTTGCAGCGAAGCCTCTCTATAGAACTATTACTATAGTTTTTGGTTAAGTGAGTTTATGATGTGAAAGTTATCTTTTTAAATATATTTTTTAATTGATAATATTTTTAATACTAATAAGGTTTGTACCTACACTTTCATATATAAGTTGAACGCTCCATTGATTAGTAAATTAGTTTAATTAAAATATTTTATGTTTTAACCTTTAAAGTGTTTTATGTAAATGTGTACTACTCGCATAAACAGACAGTATTAACTTATTATTTTCAAATATTTTTTTGTTTATTTATAAAATAATCAGCAAGTCCGGTTATGAATATAGTAAATTTCAACTCTATTTATAATTAATGATTATAAGAACGTTAAGAACCTTATTACCTGATTTGTATGAGCCTTTAACACTATTGCCTTATGTTTCAGCTGAGGCTGGGTCACAAGTAGACATTAATTCACGTTATCTATTTGCAATGCAAATACGAAACGAGGTGGTGACAAAAACACTTACAAGCTCACCATTTAAGATATCAGGGTATCATCAACATCATATTTCCGTGTGGCACTTTGAATAGGATTCTTTTACTGAGATATGAAAAAAGTCTGTTCGAGGCAGCTTCGCCAGTCATTTTTATATTATACTTCTTACACTACTTTTACAAATTCAAATCAAAACTGAACATTACGGAAAGTACCATTCGAAAAACATATTCCGTTTCCTTTCAGTATAATATTACGATGAGAATAAATCTTTATAAGCGAAGCCGTAATAATAAGATTTTTTTCTAACAACATAAATTATGCTCGAGCACTACGCAAGCAGCAAGAGTAAATATTTTTTATTCAAAATGGAATAGGAAGGTAGTTCTGAAAAGTAATCTGCTCCGACACTCAGTTTACGTACGTAAATTAGTTGCTAGTTCTGTCTGCGAAAAAGTTAAATTGCCTTCTTCACTCTAGCTAGTCCGTTCCTTTAAACGGAACTGCAAAGAAAGTGAGCTTGGGATACGATACATTATTTATCATCTTAGTAAAAATATCGTACGTACATATCATACGTACGTGTATATCACTTTTTAAGAAGCCAAAAACTTAACAGCAACTAGCTTTTTGATAAACATATTAAAATTGTTAAAGATAACAACTAGTATTATCTGTATAGATCTGAGACTTTATAAATGTTGGTGTTCCCAAGCTTGATAATAATTATTACTTCTAAATTATTAAATTACTAAATTATCTGACTCATATTTTAAACCATCGATCTTATATAGTTTAACCGAAATAAACCAAGTATAAAATGCTCCTTATAAAATAAATTCTCAAAATACCAAATTCAAAGTCAATTTGGTATTTTATGATCCATTAAAATATTGTTTATAAAATGTTTTTTTTTTTGTATTTTCTTTCACAATCCCTTGCGACATCAAAATATTTTTAATCTGTAAGTAAACAATGACTTTGACATTAAAGACTTTTTAGTTTTGACAGCATCATAAATTGACAAGTAAATGAAAACAAAAAAGATTCTGATACAACAAATAATATTAAAGTGATTCTGATACAACAAATATTCTTCCTTAGCACCAATAACCTTCTATTTCAATAGATAATAATTACGTTATTTTTGTCTAAAATAGAGATATTAATATATCAATTTAGGTTATGTCTTGCAATAATTCAAGGTGGTTAAGATACGTGATATTCTGATCTTGAAATCGTGAGTTTACACTCTGCCTTATATGGGTTGAAGGGTTTATTGATTCTTCCTGGTCTCAAGTTCTGAACAGTTAGTATTCTTTGTTACGCCACCATGGCCGATCGCGAGAAGACTGGTGGATCAAGTTCGCAAGATGAGAAACCGGAACAAAACATGAGGATTCCTTCTAGAACAGTACCTATTGGTCCAAGGTATTCTAGTGATTATTTATGTATATAACCATAGATTGTTATCATGTAGTATGAAATTACTACAAAGAGATTCAATCATCCCAAAACATTTCAGTTACTTTGCTAGTGAGCCCCTGCAGTTCCGTGTTAGGGGTACAACTATAACAGGTGCTTCTCCACCAAAATTTGTCACATTAGAAGATATCATGAAGGCTGCTCATGGCATGCAAAATATGGCACTAGCCCATGAGATTGCTGTTGACCAAGATTTCAAGCTGGAACCATTTGAACCACCTGATAATAGGTAAACTAGATAAATATGAAATTCTACATTCCATATTCTCTACATGAGGTTTTTGATATGCTTAATCCATTGTTAGATAATGACACAAATGAGAATTGAAAATTATATTGCATTTTTAGGTAATATATTTATAGGTATCTATAATACCTAAAAATGCAAAAAATTTTTTGCTAAAATGAACAATTTACTGGTTTCAAAATATGTACCTATTTGAATAGAACACAATAAATGAGCCTTCACATTTATAATGAATCATCATTATCATAATAAAGAAAAGTAATTTAAAAAACAACAAATTCAAACAAAATATTGGTTTAATTAAAATCTTTATCCCTCCTTTGTTCAGAAAAGGTTATATGCGCCTTTGAAGAAAATGTTACAACTAAGTATGACTCATCAAACTAACATCTATGTAACCTTGATGTGAATCAAAGATTGCAACTTTTATACCCTTTATATCTGAACAAATAACAATATAATGTTTTGAAAATATTATTTTGACATAGATTAAGTACTATTTAATAACCGTCTATAGTTTGCCTAAGTATTAAATAGATCATTAATGCCATCATCAACAAAGCAAAAAGTGATATTATTATTCGATATTTTATGGATGTTTTTTAATAACATGTTTGGATCGACCAACTTATTTTTTATAACAGTTACCAGAAGCTAGTCAAAGAAACTATGCACAGGGCATACTTTGACATTCTACGTGAACAACTTAATTCTGACCCTCCTGAATACAAGCAAGCCTTGGTTTTACTGGAGGATGTTAAGCAGGTATTAAAAAAGTTTTCTGCCTCATATCTTGTCCCTCTCGGATTCATAACTATTATAATGTTTTTAGCAAATGTATGCTAGGTAGTTAAGAGCACCGCATTTGCCAAGTCACCTTTATGTTTAAATAATACAGTTTAACGGTTTAAAACGCGATATACTCGCGTAGACTATAGACAGTATTTAAGTCATTTGTGGGAAGTTTAGTCTATAATAACATAGAATTCCTTTAAATCCCTATATTATATTATATAGACATATCTAGAGAACTATATTATATTTCAGGGATTATTTTCAATACTTCTACCAAGACACACAAGAATTAAGGAGATGATTGAAGAAGTCCTTGACAGAGACTTTATTAGGCAGCAGGCAGAAAATAATAGCTTGGATTTCCAGAAGTATGCCAATTTTGTCATAGACTTGATGGCCAAGCTAGCTGCACCAGCAAGAGATGAAATGATCCAGAATATTACACAGTTAACTGATACTGTAAGTTCATAAGTGCTTATTTATACTGTAGATGTGGATCATCCATAAAAATTTGAATAAAACTAGTTTAATTAATTGCTCCAGATTTGATCCCAGGACTTCTTGCTCTCACCTGAATACACCATAATACATTTCTTAATTGAATTACGCTGTGCAGAGTATTTATTTATGTCTAGCGGATATTCAAAATTTATTCAAATTGGCAAATATGATCATAAAGTGAGATAATTAATTCATTAAATAGTTGTAAAGTGAATTTGAAAAAAATACATAACTGTAATGGTTTCACCAATTTTTATAAAATGAAGTCTGCTTTATTAAGATTTATTAAAAAAATAATCCCAGTTTGTTATTTTAAGTTGTGCAATGGTTAAGCTACTTTAAAAATAAAAATGTGTTCCCAGGTGGATGTATTTCGAGCAATATTAGAAACTCTGGAAGTGTTAAAACTCGATTTGGCCAACACACTGATCGCCATGATACGACCCCACGTTCAAAAAGAGAGTGTTCAATATGAGAGGAACAAATTTGACGAAATGCTGAAGGTTTCAGAAGGTAATGCATTAGCATGTGAAAGCTACCAATTTAATATAGCCGCTTTTAGACAGCAAAGGATGTTGCAGACTAAGGGCATCAAGGTGTGGATTGCCTAACTGTATAATATTTGTAATCTTACTGTTTATTTATATTTTTAGGATTATATTTTTTCCTTTTTTTATGATACAAGGACAGACAAGCATAAGGTTCAGTTAATGGACGGTAAAAACCATCTAAATCTTAACAAGGAGCGCCGTCAACCTATCTTGGCCATGGATTCTGAAATCCACAGACCACTACCGCGATTAAACCTTCATCAGCGATCAAACATTCTTCAGGGCCTTCATCAAATTATATTTAATTAAGACAAAACATAAAAACTTTGGCTTTATTGGCCACATTGAATTTAAGCATACTTTATAACAAAACATACATGAATCTTTTTAGATGGCCTCCAGCATACAAGGGAATGGTTACAGCGACATATTGACAGGACAGGTCTGTCTACTCCAGTCAGTGATCCCAATATAATCAGAAACGTAACCGCACAAACATTAGCTAGAGCTTACCTTGAGTTGCTGGAATGGGATGATTCTAACAATTACCCAGAGGTAACTAACACATTTGATATTGAAGTATTTGGTATACATAGAAAAAAAAATTTATATCAAATACTACAGAATAAGAAGATTTTGCAAAGGTATACATAAGTAGGTTTTAAAGGATTCAACTGAGTTTTCCGTTTTTTCCCCATTTCCCTCCGGGGGTGTTGTTCTCTTTAAACTTACAAAATTAATTAATAAGAACCCTTAAAAGTGCATCATTTAAATATGTACTACTCACATAGACTACAGGCAATGCTTAAGAATTGTAATGTCATATCTTATTAAAACATTTATGATATAAAATATTTTTGTAATGAATAGGCAACCAATATGAAGGATGCTATCTGTAAACAACAAAAAAAACTAACTATTTACTAAAACACAGTGTTGGTCTAGATTAGAGTTGTTTGTTTTGATTAATTTCAGACATTAACTCTGGACAAGCCACGTTTCGTTGAGCTGGGGATGCAAGTATATAGACTCATCTGTGTGGCCTCTTTACTCCTGGTCAGTCCATCCTGCGGAAACGACCCCAACGCGCAACACAAACAGCGACTCAAGGAGAAGATAGATATTATCATAGACAACGCTTCAAATAATATGTAAGTCCTATATGAATTAAAAATCGATAATGAATATAAAAAAATTACGTCTCGGGTAGGACTTGAACCGGCATCCTTAGCGTTCCGTGCTGTTGCTCTAACCAATGTACTAACTAAATGTTCGAAATGTTTGCCATAATGCTAGCAATTTCAAAGTAAATATAGAATATATTTCACAAAGTAAATCTTTGGTTTAAACCTGAAAATTGTAATTAATGTACATACATATACTGTAACGCTTTATATCTAAAAATATTATAATTAGAATATTGTATGTTCTTACGAGATTACTATAATTTACAGCGAATTAAAAGCAGTGTTACCGTCCGTAGCCGAAGAAGTAATACTAATGACAGAGCAACTGCTTGAGAGTATGAACCAAGAGCCTCTTGATGCAGACACAAAGGATCTGATTCTCACCCAAGTTACGTCCCTGGATGACCCTGACCATAGGGTCAGGCAGATTGTCCGTAAGTTATGATTTCTAGCCTCTAAATAGTTCCCACTGCTAGAAAATTGCAAAAGTGATTTTGTTTTTGCTAACCTTCTCATTGCCATATTTATAAATTGTAGCCGTTACTCACGACGACGTTCACGTCCCATTAAACTGGTACATTTTATCAATCCTATACGGTAGTTTAATAAGACTTGCTTCTTACAGGACAAAGGGTCTTAGAATTCCTAAAGGTGATCCTAGTATGCGCTGGCGGCTCCCGTCAAATTCCAGTGGGGCTCTCGGCCTTCGCTAAAGAATTAACGACAGTCTCTGGAACTCTACTCCGTTACGTCATGCACAATAAAGCAGTATTCACACAACACTATATGGATATTATAGCTGGGGAACTTAACAAAAATGTGTAATAATGTGTAGGAAGTCATGGCTAGGAGGATCACACTATGAAGATTCAAGAAGCAGTGTGATAGTGGATACATCAAAAGAAATAATCCAATAAATTAATGATAAAGATCAAGGAATACATTGGTAAAGTTAGAGTTGAGTAATTTTGAGAAACATTTGCCACTACCGCTTCCAAGATTTATATTTGTGTTTCTTCCATGTTAAACCAGATATATATAATAAAATAGTACCAGCTGTTCAAAGATGCATAATCTATCTATATCAAAACTGACAGTAAATAAAAAAAGGGATCAACTAAAAACAGCTTATACAAAGATATGTATTTAATTATAAGATTGAATTTTTACCATTTTTATATTACATATAAATTAAATTAAGTTAGACATACTCCATATGACTCCATTCAAACATGTTGTTTTCTAATGGTATATCTAATCCAACAGGGATATGAAAATTATTATTACATGTATTGTAGTGACTCATGATTTATACACCAGTTAAAACATATACAAGAGCATATAAAGAAGTTACTAACTTTTTTATGACATTTTTAAATGGAAAATCTATTTTAAATTAACTGTAATATTACTTAACATCCACATTAAACACGAAATGTTCTTTATAGCAAAATGTAAAATTTAAAAAAACACTTTAACGGTTTAAAACGCGATATATTCGTTAAACTTATTTGAAAATGATTTTTAACTTCGGCCCGACGTTTCGGATGCTTTTCAGCAGCCGTGGTCACGGGGAGACAATATATAACCGTTAAAAGTGTTTTATTTAAATGCGTACTACTCGCGTAAACTATAGACAGTATTTAAAATGTTTATTTATAATGGAAAATGCACTAATAAAATAATTTTGCTACATTATTGTGTTTTTATTTTGTCATATAACACTGTATCAAATAATATATCAAAAATTTGTATAATTAATTGGCGCGTGAGTAGAATTCAGTTGCAATAAAAGTATTATGAATTAATTTTAAAACATTTTATTATACATTTACTTTCAAAGTGATAGCTTAGTCTGACCCGCTATGACGAGACGATGCGCTTGATGCTGAACCACTTCGAGAACCCTGAAAATAAAATATAAGTTATTATGTATGTTGTTTCTCATACGTAGAGGGGACACATATCTTATCATTTCATTAATAAATTGTATAACAAAGTATGTAATCGCTCTCATAAGTTAAGGGACTAACTAAGAGCGAGTGTCATTGTTTCAATCGTTAAGCGAGGGTTGCCTTGTTCGAATCGATATGTCACAGAGCAATTAAGTCAGATCAAGAATTTCTCTAAAAATACAAATAACTAGCTGTGTCATCGACTTTGTCCGCGAAAAACGTTATTGTGAGCCAAATTCGTTTTTATAAACTTAGCTGTTACCCCCGACGTCGGTCGCGTCACTTACCGTCGTTCTTGCAAGTTAATCTCTCGTCACATTCAAACAGGAATCATTCTTTCATACATATTTTTTGGGTATCTTAAACTGTTTTCCCCGCTTGCGCAACGGAAACCCAAAGTTGAATCATTTTCCCAATTTTATCAACATTTCTCGCTGTTTCTTTGCTCCTATCATCATCGAAGCGCGATGTTTTCTAGCCTATAGCCTTCCTCGATAAATGCTCTTATCTTACCAATACAATTTTTTGAGATTAGCGCGTTTAAAGTAACTCTTCAGCTTTATATATTAATATAGATATCGCTATCGAAGCTGGAATTGCGTGTACAGAAAAGAGCGGTTGAGACCGGCCGTACTTACTTGCTTGGAACCAGCAGCGGACGGGCTTCTAGATCTTTCCGAAGCGCTCGAGTTTCGCCTTGAGCTAGCCCTAGAGGAGGCTTTTGAACCGGAAGCCTTGGAAGAGGCGCGTGATGACGCACGTGACGATCTTTTACTGGCTGGCGACGAAGCGCGGGAACTCGCCTTTGATGACGCTTTTGAGCCCTAAAATTGAATTTAATAAATGTAATGTTAAAAAAGAAAAGAATTAAATGAGTGGTAGGAACACCAAAATTCCGTTTGGGTCACGATCCACTGTTCACAGATGACAAAGTTTATTTTTAAAACCCTGGTCCGATATATGCTGTCTGTGGATTTGAAAATGTCTAAAGCAACAATATGTCTAGATTTCATATAGCTGGTGAATTTGTCCATCATGTGAACTCTGAAATCGTCTGTCCTAATCACGCTATAAAAAAATAATATTGATATTATAATTTTTTACACAATGTAACGTTTGGGTAAGCGTTTTGCGTGATGTGACCATAAAGAGAGCAATTAAAAATAAACCTTTTCGCTAGCTTTAGAGCTGGCTCTAGATGCTTTTCCAGAAGAGCGCGATGAGGCTTTGGATGACGCACGAGATCCTGACCTGGATCTCGACCTTGAACCAGAACGAGACCTGTATTAAACAATGTTTTAAATTAGTTACTTCTCCCAGAATATAATCTGACTTTAGTTTGGATATAATCGCCTATATACCGAACACCTTTAGGAGGCATTGTACCTTTTGAAGTCTGAAGATGGTGTCTGCCCGTGACTTTAACTGTTTAAAACGCGATATATTAGTTATAAACTTATTTGAAAATGATTTTTAACTTCGGCCCGACGTTTCGGATGCTTTGCATCGTTAAATGATAAAAGAAAAAGTTTAACTAATATATCGCGTTTAAACCGTTAAAGCGTTTTATTTAAAACCATATTATAATTCCAATATGTAGATAGTTTTAGTGTAATCGTAGTTTTAACATGTCCATGTTTGTTAATTTGTAAATTTTAAGTCGAACTGGGGGAGTACTAAGGTAAGCCCATTAAAAAAGATAAACTAAATCTTTGCATTGAATTTCGTGTTTGTGTTTTGTAAAATTGTAAAGGATTGAAAAATTATCAAAACTTGAACTTTACCTCCTAGACCCAGAGCGTACTGAACGAGATCGTGATCTGGACTTCCGAGAGGGCGAAGCGGATCGAGATCTACTTCTTGATTTAGATCGCTCACGAGACCCGGATCGCGACCGATTAGATTTTTCCGAACCCTGAGGAGACTTTGAACCGGATTTCGATCGTGACCGGGATCTTTCCTTTGCTCCGCTCTGCTCTTTGTTCTCTTCTTCATCCTCTTCTTCTTCTTCGTCTTCTTCTTCATCTTCCTCCTGACAAAAGTACAATTTTATTTATCTTTCTAATTCTATATTTTTCTTCTATACATAATCTATAGTTCAGTAATCAGAAAAGATTATGTTATGTGTAATAAAACAATCTATACACCACAATACACTGGTCATTATAATTTACAGACATTAAGAATTATGAATTTACCATGGGATAAATAGTTTTATATATATATTTATATATCTAAGAAGGACTAAACAGCCTTTTTGGTCGTTAAAATAACTATTTACAATATACCTGAGCGGGCTCTAGTTGTTTCTCCCTGAGCCTAAGCATTCTATGTTCTGGCGCGCTCAATGGTCGATGAGTGACCACCAGCCTAGTTAGCGCCTGCGCAGCCGCACCTGCGCGTGCTCGTCTCTTCGACAGACGTACTCTGGTTTCCAGCTCATTGTAATATATACAGTTCTTTCGGACCACCTGTAATAAAAATTTTCTTATTATACAACATGTAGTTGAAAAAATCTCACCTCAGGTTTAGAGACGTTGTTATAATCTGTACACACTGAGTAACATCACTGTTGCTTAAATTTACTATTATACATAACAACTCAAATGACGTTACACTATAAGCTATGTTTCGACTGCGTTAAATTGTAAGTAATAACATTATAAAAAGCTCGACTTAAATGAATTTAAGATTGAAAACATTATACACGGGCAGGCAACTTCAACGGCTTCCAACGTGTTCTATGCTGTTATATTACGCAAGGGGTGCATGAATACGTTAAAAAATATTCGACGCTGACGCTGTAGCTCAATTGGTTGAATTTAAAACTAAAATCGATTTTTAACTTATGTGCTGCCATTGTGTGCCAATAACTAATATAATATAATAAGAAAAAAATTGAAGATGTTAAAATTAATTAATACCTTACCCGGATACTAGTAATACTTACCAAAAAGTAGTTCTCCTCATAACCCTTAGATGCCTTACTCTTCACGTTCCAATTGTACTCTCTAGCCATTTTATACTCATATGTATCTTCATCCATATAAGGAATACCTTCAGCAATATCACGACGTCTTTTCTGAATTGTGTCTTCAGTTGGAAGACAGTAAGCGACAAATTGCTCACCGCTTTCGTCCATCACACCTCTGTAAAAAGGTAAATTATATATTATTATTTTGAAGATACAGATTTGTTAAATGATGAATGGAACCGCAAGTATCAAAATATTTATATTATAATATATTTGTTTGTGTCCTTTTACAGTGCTATGTCCTAGAAAAATCAACATATCCCCAACTACCAAGTAATAAATGAGCCTGACTTTTTTATTGCAATAATGTTTTGTTGATGCCCACATTTTTTGGCTTACAAAATGTGACGTTTGATACACTATGATTAGTAATTTTAGGGACAATATATGTATATATCTCATAATATCACAATCATTTGAACTTACCGTATCATAGCTTGTGACATGGCTTCAATCTGCCCAGCAACATTTTTATCTGCAGGTGCTGGATCCGAGTCAAATATAACCTGTGCGCATGGATACTTCCACATGTCAAAGTCAGGGAATATAGGCATCACTTCTACTGGTGTGACTCCAGGCTTACTATAGTGTTTTTCTATAGGCTTCTTGTTGTCTTCAAATGTCTTTTCAATAGCTTTAATCTGACTTTCTCTGTCCATGTACAAGGTTTCTTCGCTGAATATTTTCTTAACATTGTAACCCACTTTTGCTTCAACCTGTAAGTACTCACAATATTTACTACCTGACATCTAAAGGCTTTTGTAGAAATAGTAGACACATTTTAAATAAGGTCAGGGGTTAGATCCGTAATAGTGAACAAGATAACACCTGTACAAATAAAAGAATTCCTAATAAGACAAATTTGCTTTATGCAAAACATACCTTCTCCATAGATTGGGGTTGAAACCGCGTCTGCTCAGTTGAAATATATTCAGATCGCCGCAGCCACGACACACTTTTAGCATGATGCCGGGATCGCTTCGAGTCTTGCGGCGTAAGAACATCATCTTCCAATAATTTTTCATCAGCTGGATCTAATACTGCATTACCGTCTCCTTGATATATATCTCGGTTAATCAGATCTATATGAACACCTAAATCATGTTCCGTCAACACTTCATAACGATAATTCTTCTCTAAAGACGTAGGATTGTATTGTATAAAGCGAGTAGATGGGAATGGATAAGTGATAAATTTTAAGTCAAAGGGTATATCTGGTAATGTGTTACAGTACTTAATCCGTGTAACAAGCTCAGCCCTAAAACAAAACAAAATTAGATTCAAGTCTAGTAGTCCTATTACCATAAATATAAACAAAATACTAACCTTCTTTCTCCAGTACGTTGCGGACGTTTTTCTCGCTCAGCTTGTTCATTAGTTTGGACAGTTGGTGCCATTTTAACAATTTAACTTTCACACTTGAGCGTTATCATCACATAAATCTCACTTCGCCGTTTATTTGATGCAAATTAAATTAAAATTAAACTAACCAAAATAGAATTTACAAAAACACAGGTAAATAATAATTTAGAAGAGTTCAGAGTTGTTCACTACACAGATATTCTACAACGTTCAGTGTGAAACTCAAATTCAAGACTATATAAAAGTAAGTAATTATCACATTTGATGTAGATTTACATTTTAAATAATAAATAAGTTTTTTTAATTATTAAAAATGTCAGCATACCTTTAAATTACTGAGCATTTTATTACCTATTTCCAAGATAAATTGGATATCATTGGTATCTTATTCTTTTCATGTGTCAAACTCTAATGTGACTAATTAATAAAACACCGGATACTATATGGTAAACCTAAAGTTGCCATGTGATAAATCATATAAAATTTTCATTTCCACTCCGACTGCCGCCATCTTTCTTTTCATTCAAGTCTTGTCGGCGAAAAGGTAAGTTTCAATTGAGTGCTCTCTAATTAACCCTCTAAAGTTAATATAAATTGTTTCAATGTATAGGTCAAATTACTTGATATATGATTTTTCTTTCTTTTACATTATTTTTAACGTATGTAAAGCTTAATTATGTGTTGGAAAATGGAGACCATGTGGTCGGTCGCTATAGCGGCTCGTAACTGCGCATTACGTTTCAGTCATCAATGAAAAAGTGATTATAGCTTTCGAAGTTCAGCCATTGTTATATACACAGAGTATTTACTTTAGAAGTGCTTTATTGGAAGTCGTTTGATCAAGCCGGTAAACCAACGTGGCGGGAATACCAATGATTCTTTTGTGTTGTAGATAAAATGTTCTCTGCAAAGCAAAATAAAAAGAAGACTGGTGAAGAGTCTTTTTCGGAGAGCGAATCGGGACAAGAGGAAGGCATTGTGAAGAGCGATGACTTAGTCCAGCACTTAATTAGACGGTATGCTTTAGTTTCCACTATATGTACGTTAGTTGCGAATTGCTAAGTTACACACGTGCTAGTTACTAATAAACAAGGTTATGAAATCTCATCGCTTTCTCAACGCGCTATCTACTATCAGTATCTTAACACATGACCGAGTAAGATTTAATTAATTAACGTGTATAATATCTTAACAAATCGTAGACCAGCACTTTGTTAAATATATATTATTTATTCCAAAAACAATTAAGTTGTAATTAGCAATAAATATTTCTGTAGAGTCTGGGAGGTTGTTTAACGTTTATAGCGGGTTTATTTTTTTCAATTTAAACATCTCAGTTTGTTGAACCAGTGACTCATTTTATGCTCCATTTACCCTAATCAGATAGATCTCACTCATGCAATGTAATAGATCTAATAATACTAAATAGAGGATAGTACTTCAAAGTCATTGTATAGATTGAGTCAACCTTTTATCTATTATATTTTTATCTTTTTAAAAAAAAGTTTTCACTTAAGTGATTTTTTCTGCCGGAAAAAATCGGTCGTTTTTCTTCCAATACGGCACTAAGGTCCAATGTGTGGACTTTTTTACCTCCTTTACTACTTAAAATGATATACAAAATATCTAACAACAAAGAACAAACAAAAACTAGAAATAATGAAAATATGCCTTATATTGTAATTTGTATTTTAAAATTCTGACCCTTAAAATGTTTCATTTCAACTACACCTTGACATTTACTTTTTTCAGTGTTCGGCATTTCTCAGAACATATATTCCATTTCTTATTTATAAAAATTAATGAATTATATTTTTTAGCATGCACGCAGAAAACAATGCAGGCCCACCGCCACCTGAATCCGTGCGACGGCGTATCAAGGCGTTGCGTCTGCTTCAAAAGGAGTTCATGGACATAGAAGCTAAATTCTACTCTGAAGTTCATCAATTAGAATGCAAATACACTAAATTGTACCAGCCTTTATTTGAAAAGGTAAGTCTATTAAGGTGCACATCTTTCACACTTGACAATTGTGTTGTCTGAGTTGAATGAAGATATGAAAAATAGTAAAGTCCTAATTCAAAGATATTGTTTTGCAATATTAATGTTAGAATTTAGGCTCAAAATAGCATTAACTAAAATACAACTTAAAATGACTATTTATATCTGTTATGTATATGGACATGATGACCTATTATCACCAAGATCTGAAGAGCTATGATTGACATGCTAACATGCATCACCAACTGAAGTTTACTAACACATCCTCCTTCTTAACTTTACTTAATTACTGGTCTAACTAGTTTTAAATTCTCAGCGTGCCCAAGTTGTGATTGGCACTTATGAGCCAACAGATGAGGAGTGTCATATACCCTGGCCTGAGGATGAAGAGGAGGAATTGCCCAATGCCGTTGAGAATATAGCTCTTGAAGATAAGACCAAAAATGAGATTAAAAGTGCAGAGTATGTATTTGTTAACATAATATTATTACAATTTAGATATAAAGTAATCTTACGATGTGAAATGATACTGACATGTCGGTAATTTGATTTTTTGTTTTAATATGATGACATTCTACACCATTTTCTGAAGAAATCATGATTGATTTGTTTAACATGCATCACCAACTGAGGCTTACCCAGGTTTAGCATAACTTATAAGCTGAGATGTGCTTTGCTGGAATCTAGTTTTCTTTCGCAGGCCACCAATGGATCCTAATGTTAAGGGGATCCCTGACTTCTGGTTGACCATATTCAAGAATGTCCCAAAATTAGGTGACATGGTGCAGGAGCATGATGAACCAATCCTCAAGTCACTTCAAGATATTAAGGGTGAGTTAAAATTGGTAATATTATAAAATAGTATCTCATTCTTTAGAAAGTCTAAAGTAAAAATAATTCTTGTTACAATTTATGAGTATGTACTAGTGTAGGGTTCTGTAAGATAACAATTACTCATGGCGAAATGTATATTTGCAGTTGAAATGAACGATGAACCACTAGGGTTTACACTGGAGTTCCATTTTGCACCCAACGAATACTTTGAGAACTCTGTCCTTACTAAACAGTACTCTATGAAATTCAAGCCTGATGAGGAAGATCCTCTCAAATTTGAAGGACCTGAGATCTATGCTTGCAAGGTTTGTTGTTTTTCTTTTAAGTGGGCTTCCTATGCTGACCTAAGTTATTATTGGCCTTTAAGCCAATAGTAATACATTAGTCAGCCATAAGAGCTTAATTTATTAATTGATATGATCATAATTTTCAATATAATTGTTTCAATAATTCATAACTAGAGTGTTTATATCGTAGAAACATGGTTCTCAATAAGAATTAATAGTAAAATGTTTGGGCTTGTAGGGATGTAATATAGACTGGAAGAAAGGCAAGAATGTAACAGTGAAGACCATCAAAAAGAAGCAGAAGCACAAATCGCGCGGGTCCGTGCGCACTGTCAGCAAGACTGTGCAGGCTGATTCTTTCTTCAACTTTTTTAATCCTCCGGCAGTGCCCGATGACCCTAACTCCACTATTGGCTCTGATACTCAGGTACACATCAGTTCAATTTTCATTCCAATATTCCATTGTCTATTTTATATTAAACTTAATTCTTTGATTTTGTAGGTGTTGCTAGCTCTTGATTTTGAAGTGGGTCACTACATTCGCGAGCGAGTTGTATCCCGCGCTGTTCTTTTATACACTGGCGAAGGAGTAGATGACTTCGATGAAGATTATGAGGAAGAGGTATGATGAACAAATCACTCTTGATGCATATATATAAACAACATTTGCAGGCCTTCTTTGGAACTTTAGCAGTTTCAAGTAAGAACTGCAAATGTGAAGTACAACTAACTTTATGTATGTATTTTTTTTTGTACCAGGTAAAAATGAAAAAATGTTTATTATATACGCATGGAACTATGCTTCTATATGTTAAATATTGTCCTCCAACAGCCATCTGTTAGCCACTTAGCGTGCATGCTAGTTGCTTGTAGACAATTTGAAATGCTATCGCTAGGCTGCTATGTATCGGTTTTGCTATGTAGTTATTTTATCGAGACTCGTGGCGACGTGTAAACTGGTGATTTTGTCACCCCCCTCATAACTCGAAAACTGTTTTACATAAGTCGTTTGGGTTACGACGGATAGTACGACGTACGAAGAGACATAAACGTATCCGAGCTCTTTAGTCTTATAGCCGCGAGCGCCGTCTTGTTCGATTGTCACCCTGCTCTGACCTATAAAGTTGCGATTTTTTTAAATAAGTTTCGTATAGGCAATAGTTACTAAAAGAATAATAATCTTCGCATAGTTAAAAACCAAACGAAAACGCGAAAATTAACTCCAGACTCGATTGGAATGGGCAATTCCACTTGAATGATTCAAAGGTACAAGAAAATAAAATATGCTAGCTGCTCCTGCGATCTTCGTACCCCCTAACAGACGAATTGTTTTTATTTAACTATCAATATGTATGCGATACTAACGTAATTAAAACAGCATCGTCGTTGGAGTAGAGTTGATGCTATACCCACATCTAGCCCTTAAAAGCTTCTCTTCTCGTTTCAGATTAACGATAATTCATTGTTGAGCTTCCCCAGATACTCTGCACCTTATGACGTGATATAAACGATGGCGTGAAATATGGAAATAGTGTTGTGTCGAATTTAGTTTGTTTTTTTTTTACTTTTGAGTAAGAACCGCCTTTCCGTCCTCATTCTGCAAAAAAAATGAGTTTGATGACACAGTACATCAGATGTTTCGGCCCTCAGCACTTTTTTTCTTGTGAGAACTTAAAACTTGATACTGACGGACTGAAAGGTCTTGTTGTCTTAATTTATAAATTTGAAGCATTTTGACATTTCTATGTAACTTATTATCACTTCCGTGGCACATATTAGTGTTTTAGAGACTGGAATGACAAAAATTATATTCAACATTAAAAAATTAAAATCCGTGAATGTGAGTCATAACTAACAAACGCCACTAACATTGTAAATATCACTTAAAGATCATAGCTTAACCGATAAGTAGCTTATGGTGTGCATATGTATGCATGTCTCGCCATAATCAAGCCCTAGTAGGTCCTTAGTTAAAGACCAATAGCGGTATATTTGGTTTCAGGAGGATTCTTGTACCTATGAAGCTTCCGGTACCGAGGAGATTTCTGACGCGGAGGATTGATGCAAGACCACGCGTTTCTTAAGCCACGCCCTGACTTCGCTCAAACGTTATTCACTCGCTTGAGCTTAGTCACCGCCCTACAGCGGCACGCTATCTCACTCATATCGAAACTAAATTGTACCAAAAACTTGTGGAGCTATAGTTATTCTCCCCGCTGCGTTCGCATTTAATACGAACGCAACGCGTTTAGTATGTAAATTCGTAGTGTTTTGCGCTAGATTCTAGTGATACGCGGCCCCCGCGCGCCGAAACGACTTCTATGCATGGTTTATCAAAGATAAATATGTTTTAGAAACATTTACACAAACCCAAGGCGGGCGTGGGCGCCCCGGGAACACTTAAGGTGCCTTACGTAATGCATGTTACTAGTTCGTTACAATACCTATATTGCATTTCTAGTTAGTTATACAATTTCTCGTTTTTATTTATTATTTTTATACATTGATAATGATAATTGTAATAGAGTGTATTTTGTTTACGAATAAAACATGTCGATTTGTATTTTTAAATTTCTTGTGATATTTTTATTCTCTAAGGCTATTTATGGTTCATGAAATGCAAGTTTTGGGCATTCCACTGTGGAGTTTTAAACTTTGAACGGATACTTATTCATGTTATCGAATCTCTTGTGCCAAATGCATTTTATTCCAATGTTTCCTTCATCTGTGATCTATCTCGTGGAGACATAATGACAATACAGATTTGTTTTTATTTATGTAATTTGTATCAAACTTAGCATAATATGAGCAGCTAGTTTTATTACTTATAGCTTTTATATATGTTCTGGCATGATGTCCTTATGATGACATTAAAATTGTAAGCTTTTAAAGGTGTGTTTTATTTATTATTTAGCCTTATTTTGCATGTGACGTTTTAATGGCAAACAGATGGTTGTTTTTATTTTTTCTTATGTTAAGTGAGTAAAATTAGTATTTTAGGTTAACATTTTAATTGCTCAAAAAATAGATTAAAGTGGATTTTATAGAGGTATAAACAATACAGCACAATTGTTAAATAAAATTACAATACAGAATTTCTAAATTCTTTTATCCGGCAAATATATATATTGTTTGTATCTGAAGTCTTGATAAGTAATAATTTGTGGTAAAATATTAATAATGTTATATCAGGAGGAAGAAGAAGACGAAGAGGAGAGTTCATCCGAAGAGAGTGACGAAGAAACTCCAGCGGAGCGCAAGCGGAATAGGAAGAACAAAGCGAACAACCCCGCTTCTGCCGACAACCCCGAGTGCAAGCAACAGTAGCATTACAACTACAACTTGAAATACTGAGGACCGTCACGTGTGAACTCGGGCTTTGGCGGGCGCTTCTACCATTAATTAGCCAAGTTTATCAGGGGCTCACATTGTTTTTTATTCTAAATTCAGCTGTTTAAAGCCGTTTGGTAGAGGCCTCGCCGATCCTATAGCTTAAATCATTGGCTTTTAGTGCATTGCCGGTAATGGAAGCATATTTTACATTTCTCAATCCCAGTCGAATCTTCATAATGCATTGTAAGAAATCATTATCGACCGTATCGTCATTTGAGTATTAATTTTACAATAAAATTCTATGTAAATTAAAATAATTACAATAACTATAAAAACAATGAAATTGCCATTTGAAACATTTTCGGCCTGATTATATATTTCAAAGTAGAGGTGTAATCTTAATGTAAATATTGATATCTAAAAATCTAGATGTTTTTTAATTGACTGTACTATATGTACCATAATTATAATCAGAATCGGATATAGTTTTCAAAGTTAAATTATGTATGAATCCAAATCACTGCCCTATCACAATTGTCTTCAATTCCTAACCATATTGTATATACGTAGAATATTGTATGCCCTTTTTGGTACATATTTTTGATGGCAAGTGCTTCGCTAGCGGTGCCTCGTTTATGTTGGCTAGTGGTTATGTTCTTAACTTTGACTCTTGGGAAAATTTCAAATTTGTCAGATAAAACATTTAATATAGACAATTTCATTGTGTATTTACTTACAAATACATAATCATCAGTATAATAGAAAATTTGAAGTAATCATCTCGAGGGGTATAATGAGATAGGATCTAAATAAATGTGATAAATCTCCTGTATTCTGTTAAAACATTTAACTGTCTTTAAGACTGTACTAGTAATTATAAATGCAATTGATGTATGCCCGATAGGTTATCGCTGTTAGTTTGACGATACGCCACGAATACAAATTGAACGCAAGCATGCTGTGAACACCGTTCAGCTATTAGAATATTTGTACACAACATTTTATAATAAATTAAATTTTAACAAATGCCTTTCTTAAACTGAATACCCCCAACCATTGCATGTTATGTAATGGATGTAAGCCTAACCTACCGTTAACGAACACTTGTTCGTAAACCTAAAGTAACCTCTACCCTTAACTTTTAAGGTACCTACTCTTTTGGTAGGTAATTTAGGTAAAAAGAAAAAAACAAATCAACTTTCAGTATCAATTTATTAACTCATCAAAGAGTAACAACTTATCTATCACGTTTGTCTTTTATTCAGATCTTGGTATAATCTGTCGCAATTCCTTTTAAAAAATACTGCTACTATGATAACTGCGTTTGTGACATTTTCAAAGTTGGCAGAGTTACAACTGAAAACAATATGGCTTCGTCTTGTACTTTTAATAAAATATACTTAATTAAGTACACGTACCTTATCCATTTCTAATAGGAAGTTGCTGATTTTGAAACCAATCCGAAGTCATTGGAAGATCTGACATTATAATTGACATAAACATACATTCATTATGTTTACATTAATATCAAAATACTGATCGAATTAAGGCTGTTAGGAACGTACTAACTCGAACCATACGATGTTTTCAGTCTAAAAAAGTCCGTATAGCACCAGAATTACTTAAAATTAGCCTAGTCAACTGAGCTACCGGGCAATATCGCTATCAAACTACGAAAACAAGGGAATGATGCGATACACAAACTATTAGATAATATTGAACTGGTAATACAAACTATGAGATAAGGATTGCCATCTAAAAACAAGACGTCATATATTTGGCACCCATTAAGTTTGCGTTAGATGGCAACCCCCACTAACACAACCTTATGTACAACGTTTTGCAATAACTATTTAGATCTCACTATTACTTTTTCTTCTGCTTAAGAACTATTCTTCAATTTTGTAAAAACGTCCTTGTTGGACTACTATTGTGTGTTTGCTTAAATTCACTTAATAAATAAGCAATATATGCAGGAAAATGGAAGCAAGTCTAAATTAAAACAGGAGGAATATTCTTTTAGAAAGATATTTTTGCTCCAGATATAAATAGATTAATATTTTAGATAGAAAACAGTATAAAAAAGCTTGTCAGAATTTAAAATGAGATAAATGGTCTTATCACTATTAAACTAAATGGTATTTTAAAATTCATTTGGAAACTTAACACGATAATTCACTTTTATAGTTAAACATAAAATAGGGGTCAAACATTCCAACTATATTTAAAAAAAATCACACAATGGGGATAATTCATAATGGAATTAAAATAAATACTAATTGCTCTAACTCAAAACAAAAATTAAGTAAACAATTATGTATTAGAAAAAAATATCCCGAATCAAAAGTGAGACGGGACGGCTAAAAGGGAATTATTAATAAAAATTGCACTATAAGTACATACATACAAAACGCGCTAGTAAAATTCGCCGAAGTTTGGTCAGTTTGGGACTCTTATTTCGCTCAGTCTAAGTCTGCCCATGTCAATTGCTTAATGTAGATTAGAAATGTTTATATTTTATGTAGTCACAAAGTTTTACGCAAAGTATAATTATAGTTACGTATCGTCATCTATGTATAATATACATTATTCGACAATTTTCTTGCACTACTTTTATAAATCAATAAAGTTCAAATTAGATAAACGCGAGCGTCACGTAAAGCACTTAACAGGTCATCTTGTATTTTACGTAATTGTAATTCTTTATTAAACTACAACTGCTCTACGTATTATGATTCCAACGGTTATATTTTTGTCTCGTTCTTTCTATTTGTAAATGAAACGGGTGCGACAGAGAGAGACTTAGTATTGTTCCTTCTTAATACACGGTAGCAAATGGGTATTGCAATTTAAGACCTTACTCTTAACGAAATACAGTCCACAACGACATATTAACACAGTCCGAGTCGCGCTATCTATCAGGAAAATGGTGGGACATCTTCACACCAAACCAAGGTCACGCGGGAGTCTTAGCTTTCTTGCCGAATGGGAGGTTAATTCGGCGCTTTCTGGGTTTTGGTACACTTTCGTCTTCCATGAGGGACGAGTCGGTGGACTCTTCTTCAGCGGGGGGTGTGCTTGCGATCGGTTCTGGCTGTTCCGTGGCTTCGGCGAGTGCCTTTTGGAAAGAAAATTGATATTATACCACAAAAAAAATTGTTATGGGAGAAACCTTAAAATTCAATTAGTTGATTATTTAAATAGGATATCCTGTTTACCTTCTGTCGTGTGAAAGGTCTAGGCGGTGGTCTCGGCTCCTCAGGATTGTAGGGCACAATATCTGTACTGCGCGAGCGCACGATCTGTCCCGTAAACGGCCTGCGAGGGGGTGGCATGGGTGCAGCGATACTACGCATGGAAGCCCGAAGTTGCGGCTGTGATTGCGAGTGCACTGCTCGGGTTAGGTCTTCGCCAGTCCAGTTAACGCTGAAATTATATAATGTATCATTATGTGATGTAAACAATACGTTTTTTTACATGGCGCGTCCACATGGCTAGAAATTTCTATCTGTTTTCAATTAATGTATTTTATTAAAGAATTTTAACAGATTTCTGTGCTGTCTATCAAACATACATTGGACAATCGATTTGAACTTACTTATCTCCGCCGAGAACAAATTGAACTGGATCCTTCCGCCTCTCATCCGGGCTCTTTCTGACATCATTGTAACTCCTTCTCCCCTCCTCTGCTAGTCTTCTTTCTTCTCTTCTGTCTTCCAACCGCCCTTCTCGAGCTTCTTGTGCTAAACGCTCTTCGAGTTGTAATCTGTAACGTTATTAAAGAATATGAAAATAATTTAGAGAACAGAGAGAGAGTCTGGCTCTAGGGACAATAATTTATCGTTTCCCGTATAAAAAGCTAACCTATTAAGGATAGTTACCTGGCTTCAGCGAGTCTCAAATCCAGAGGATAATGTGGCGCATCTGCTTCACTGCCTGATGAATCTTCCTTCCAACCGAAATTGTCTGAGACTAAAAAATTTGTTTGTAGAAATATTTTTTTTACAATAAATATATAGTCACATAATTTGGTTTTCATTACACTAAGCATAAAATCTATTTAAAATGAAGTCTCTTTGGAACAACATTTTGCAAAGGATTGTTTATAACAAAAATTATGCATACAATATGTTGTGTATTGGAATAACTAGACAAATTGAAGCTGACGATAAACAAATTGATTATTATATTTACCATATAATATATGCATATTTTAATTTCTTTAGTCATGCACTATAACTAACGTTTGCGAGTTAAGCATGCGTATTAAATTAAACCTAAACATTTATAAATTTCTTAAATTGCTATATATTAAAAAACTGTATAGTATATTATTTTCGATAATTTATATTAAAAGCATGTATGAATTGTAAGAACCCAAGGTAAAGCATAGAGGTTAAAAAGAACCAAAACGATACCAAAACTAAGGACTTTACGGTTGTACTAATAGAAATAAAACTACCTCACTTACCTAAAATGTGCTGTTGAGTTCTGACGCGTAATACAAGCATTAAAAAAAGATTTCTAGCACATTTTAAGTCCTTAACTTTGAGATGTTAATTATAACACAATGCAAAAATATCTTACCTGTATTCAGGAGCGCAGTCACAACAAAGCAACAGATCGGTAACTTGCAAATCTAGGGGGAGTGGGGAGGGTTGCAAAATAAAACAAAAATCACAATCGTCAAAAGCTTTCAAACGTGCAATGCAACTTGTGGAAATACTTCTGTTTTCTTTGAAAAAAATTAAAGCAAGCGATTTTACCAAAAGTTTTTTATTTTAATATTAGTAAAAGTGGATTTCGCCCGAGTTTTCTTATTTATTTAAGAAACAAGCGTTACTACGAATCTATTAAAAACTTTATATCTTTTTGCTTAATACAACTACAATGGATAATAATAATATATTTTATTTTGATTAGAGCGTGAGTTAACACATAATCTACTGTAGTGTATACACATTTAAACAAAGCAAGCGTTGCGGAAATTTGGCTTCAAGCAAACTAGGATTCTTAACAGTTAGTGATAACTATTTTGCAACTAATAAACACTAGATTATTATGAAAGGGAAAGAATCTTTAAGGGACATTGTAAAGATCCTTCATCATATTAATAAGTACATTTTACACATAAATATATAAGGACACATGCACGGAAAGGAAAACCCATCACCAAAGATTCACAATTGACATCCATACTTACATACATGCTTTTAATAAGAAAGCCTGAAAGCTTCCCTTCGATTGTGACAAAATATAGGAAATAATAAATTTATTCGAAATAAAAATTATACATAAAACTTAAATAATAGCATATTACCAAAACAGCTAAGCCTTAATTAAGCCTTTTGTACTAACTATAGCTATGACTTGGTTCAGTAACAATTAGACCGTGTTCACAAAATTTTTTGCACCTAACAGGAAATCTAAGTCTTTCTAACCCCCTTTGAATAAATGCTTTTGATGGTTTAAAACGTCGAAATTAATTTACCATATCGTGTGAACATGGTCCGTAAACTACACTTTAAGTACAACATATTTTCTTTTATACATATATATTATTAATATAACTTTCAGCATTAAATTTGAGTTCAGACTATGTTTTCCCATTTTGTATCCATTAAGACTATGCTCTACAAATGCGTTTTCATTTACCATCACTTTTCATCAGATCTCAAGAGGAACATCATAGAAATAAATTATTTATTATTATCTTAATTTTACAGTTATTCTTATATAGTGCGTCATCAAATATATTGTCTTTTGTTTCTTACAACCGAATTTGAGCCTCTCGTTACAACGAAATTGAAAGTTTTCTTTGATGCGTACAAAGTAAAAATATTAATGTAAAAGCTACCTAAAAATATTCGAAGCTTAAGTACACTTTTCTTAAATAACACATTAAAACTAAAACAAAATTTGTAATTTAGATGCAACGATAACAATACTGATGCTAAGATTTTTTTGCATTATCTTTCGGCCCTTGCAAATGTTACTTCTGGTGACAAATTCGCTAATCGCTATGCTCGTGGTAGAAGACCTCGTCTATCTTACCTGAACCACATAATGAAGTGTCGTCGCCTGCGCTCAAGTCATCTTGGGAACTATTAATACGGCCTGAAACACAATAGAATAGACACAACTTTATTATTGTTTAAGAATAATTAAAACGAAATTTATTGCATGTTAAGGATTTATGTTCACCAAAAAATAATAACAAAAACTTTATATTAAGTATAATAATATTATTTAGTATTAAAATAGAAATCTTAAAAGAACAATGACAAGTATGTTAGTGGTGTAAGTACCTCTATTTGGCTGTCTGCCGTTAGCTGTGCGGTACAGGGTGCTCTCTAGGAATTGCAAGCCATTGTTGTTGATAATGTTGAATCCGCATAGTCGTTCGATTTGCTTCCAACGGTGCATTCTTTCCTGCATTTATTATATTAAATTACAAGCTGTGTCTGCGACTTCGTCCGCATATAGAAGAGTTCCTTATCATCGTTATAACTTAATAGTTAGACTGCTAGACCCACGACGTCGACCGCGTCCCGTCGTTTTTGCTAGTTAATTTTTTAAAGATAGACATACTGTCGCGAACATATTCTCGAAAATTTAAAGATGAATCATTATTTAATACATATGTTTTGGATATCTTGAACGGTTTTCGACGCATGCGCATCGGAAACCCACAGAGACGAATAATTTTCGCCGTTTTTTCCACAATATCCGATGTTTCTTCGCTCCTATAGGTAACCAACCGCACGATGCTTTAAAACAGCTCATTCAAACAAATTCTTCAGCTTTATATATTAGTATTTACTGATCTTATACAATCTAAGATGACTTAGAATACCTGTAACTCTTGTGTGACCTCATTGAGTGCAGTGCGCGCTTCCACTATTGACCTGTCAACGTCATCTATCGACTTCCCGTGAGTGGACACAAACGCACCGACCAGACTTGACCTTTTCTTGCGTAATTTCTCACACTGAAATACGAACAAGACTTTATACGATAGAATTCATAACTTATTGCATGGATTAAAGATTATGTAATACATATTATACAATCTAGCCAAGCATGTGCGAGTTGGAATGGCCGCCATAATGGTTAATGGAAGAGGACAAAAGTTCAAGTCTCCGGAAAACATGAAGCCAATACAAAGAAAATCAAGAATGAAGCAAATCAGTACCGCTTCTCTAGCTTGCTGTAATTGTAAGTCTGCCTGCTGTTTCTTTCTCAGATAAGACCTGTTCTCCACTTCGTGCGTCAACTGCAGCCACTGCTGCAAGCCGGCTGGTGGCGCCCAGCACCTGTCTTCCAATTCGCCCTCGGCCCGACGTAATTCTGCTCGAAGCATCTACACAAATATACATTAATTCATATCACTAGTTATTCTTGCTTTATTATAATTAATTATATCGTAATAAAACACGATAAACAATTTTAATGTTATGAACTACAACTTTAAAAAACGGTAAATAAAACACTTTGACGGTTTAAAACGCGATATATGTTAGTTAAAATTATTTTAACTACGGCTGACGTTTCGCATGGTTTACATCAGCTGTGGTCACGGGGTCACCTTCCCGGCACCACAGCCGCCTATATCTCGTTTTAAACCGTTAAAGCGTTTTATTTAAACGACAATATTTATTTTTGTTTTATTTAAAAAATAATGGAATTATATAAATTAAAAATGTATTTACACTAAAAATTGTCCCGCTCGTGTCGTAGCTTTTTATTAAATATAGATATACTTTTTATCTTAATTTAGCATACTAGTACAGTAGTTTACAGACAGATCGAAATTTTTGTCTATATATAGAAAACATAGTAACCTCGATTTCAGCTTTGAGTTGCGATACTTCAAGGTCGGATGAGGCGGAGTTGAGTAAGGGTGTGTCTCCTGCTTCCTTTAACTTCTTTTCCAAATTCTTCTTCTCTGTTGTTACATTTTCCTGGAAAGAATTGAATGAGAGATGTACTTTTTTACAGCTATTTTTACATTCTATTATTTCTATACTATTTTTCCATCTACATAAGATTTTTACATATAAAATAATCATTAGCTGTCACGGATAGGCAATCTAATATAAGTAGTCTTTATAACGCGGTTAGTAGCTATTTAATGGTGGTTTCGACGAGCTCGTTGGTGTAATGGTAGTAATGTTTGGCTAATAATCAATGGCCCGTGGGTGCGATCCCCATCAGGACAATAAATGGGTGGTTGGAATATCGAAATTCCGTCCGGATTACGAACCAACGCACAGATGAAAGGGCCGTCAATTTTAATCGCGTTTTGGTGTCAATCTGTGGATTTTCGAATATCCAAAGCCAAAATATGTCGACAACACATCTTGTTTAGATTTTATATATTGTCTTGACTGTCCTCCTCTATTGCAAAAAAAAGAAATCAACAAGTAACTATAATTTCTATGAGTTTTATTTTAAATCACAGATGGCGCTACAAATTATTTTCTATCACGTCATATTTGTGTACCTTTATACCTACCTACATACCCTACTCTATCATAAAAAAAAGTGGAATTATTGAAATACATAGAAAAAGACTCATCTTCGCCTCTTCTCTTAATGATACCAGTTTGGCTGGATATTAGGGGTAGTTACCTTCTAATAGGAGGCTGTAGTATTAGTACCACACTCTCCAAGTCACATGCCCGATGTGGGCGTGCATTAGGCATTCACACCATCAATAAAAAGAAGGGGGTAGTTACCTGCTCTAACCGAGCCTTCTCAAGTTCCTTCTGCATATCGTCCAGCGCCATTTCGGCCTTCCGCAGCTGTTCCATATCCCTGAGCATCCTTTGCACTTGGACTCTACTGGCTCGACCAGCGCGGAGGGCCGTCCAACTTCCCACCACGGCGCCGAGTAGAAGAGACGCGAGTAACCAGTCCTTCCATCGACTGCCTTCTGAGAGGAAACTAGTGTTAAATAGAGTGCCAATGGACTATAAAGTTTTAAGGCCAGGTTAAAAAACTGTCTATTTTTTTACAGTATACTGAATTTTAACCATATTTTAGCCATAACTGTTTAAGATAACATTCGAGTTATATTCGAAGATCGAGTGCAAGTGGCGTGTGCTTGAAAAGTCTTTCTACTAGTCAGTAGTGAACTAGGGTATTAGTGCATCATCTTTATATTATACTGACTGAGCTGGCAAACGTTATTATGCCACATGAAGTATTTTGACCAAAATGATATTACCATAAAACGATTCTTCTAAAATTAATCTTTAAAAATAGATAATAACTGTTGCGGATTTTTTTATTTTTAAAGGTAAATTTTCTCCGATTGTTTTTGCTCCTATTGGTCGTTAACCACAGCAAACATAATTTTTCAATTTTAACCAGTAGTTCCTGTGATTAGCGCGTTCAAACAAACTCTTCAACTTTATTATATAGATATTGCACATTGCTACAGTGCTTTTTAAAGCTTTTACTTAACATTTTTCAAATGGCTGTTAAATTTGTACATTACAATTAATATTATAAAGTTATATTGATGTCGCCTAACTTAATATGTTTTGTATTCCTTTATAGACGCGATTAAGTGGACAAATTGCTCGTAAAATCATCTATTGTAAATTGTTGGCAGCGGAAAACGAATATCGACGATTAAAAATCCATTAGGCAAAGCAAACCTATGACATTAAAATGGACTGAAACATTATGTTACTGTGGATTACAAATGTTTTAACATACAAATACATTTCCCTAAGAAAGTAGTATTTATTTTTTATTGTTTCGAGCGAGATATTTTATAGCCTAAAGCCTTTCTCAATAAAAGCTCTAACAAAAACAAAAATTTTCAAAATGGCGGTTAAAAACAATTTTAACTTAAATATATTGCGTTTTAAACCGTTAAAGTGTTTTATTTAAATTTGTTAGTTATTTTTAGTGCCTGTAATGCAAAAATATGTAAAACTGCGTGTTGTTTAGTTTAGAGTTTTACTAAACAAAAAGTCCCCACTATTATTTCATTCTGATATGTGTCATTAGCGCATTTCATGTTGATAAAACAGAACTGTACGGACATGTGTAATCTTTTGAAATACTGAATCGTTAAAAACCCAATGCTACGGCAGAGTATATCCCAGACACAATCAGTTTTATTGGTTTTAATTAGTCACGTCTTCATTTTATTTCTCACGACAATTCCACCAATATTTATTTAACTTCAACGCTATTAGTATACAACATAAGAAAAGTTACTACTGCATACCGACAAAGAGATTTTTAAGAAAACTTGAAAATGTCATAAATATAAGACATATGCTATTGAAGACTAGTTTGATATTTTGTACGTTAGATTAATCGTGCAGTATCCATTTAAGATGTATAATTTTCCCCGTCTTATTTTTTATATTTTCCATATTTATTGTTCCTATTTATTGTCACAAACTGATCTTTTATAGCCTTGGTTGATCCATCCTTTGTAAATGGATCAATCAACACAACATTTTTCATTCGGATCAGTAGTTACCTGCGATCATCAGTGCGTTTAAAAAAAACGCTTTATAATATTAGTATAAATGTGTAGACATTGGACTTGACTTGAGTAATCTTCTATTTTGATTGACTCGTAATACTTACTCGTAACTCTACAAAAACCTTAAGAAAATATAAAATCATGATCAAGGTTGCATTACTTAATAAAATGGTACAGACAACATAGTATAGTTTCCTCAAGTAACGTACTATTATTGCTGTATTAAAATATCAACTACCACACAAGTTCACTAACGATGAGATAATTGAACAATAAAATGATCTTACAAGAACGAATTCACGGAGCATATTATAGTAAGACCAAGTATTTCTTTATATCATATAACAATAACTTAATAACGCTAAATTTTCCCAAAAAAAATATTTTACAGCATTTATCGAGGAACTACACATTGACCTGTAACTAATAGGAGCGAAGATACAGCGGGAAATGTGACAAAAATATTCATTATTAGGGGTTTCCGAGGCGTGTGCTGCAAAACCGGTTAAAGATACCCAAGTAATATGTATGAGAACATTGTAACATGTAACATTTTTGGATGCCCAAAATAACTAATCTACGCGGACGAAGTCGCTGACTCAGCTAGTATCTACATAAAATGCTACAACTAAAAACGTTTGTTTTGCCTTTTTCTATAATTGTGACACAGGCCAACGTCCATAAGAAGAGAAGTTTTACAGTTTCGAGTGGACTGTCCAAAACAATATTAAACAGCTATCTCATTCTAACGTATAGACAAAAGACAAAGATAGACACATAATCACAATAACCGGTCATCAAACGTCACCTATGTCACTCCGCATAAAAAATGCTTAACAGCAAACACTACTCACTTAATATCCTCCACGAATTAAAGAATCGTATTTATTTAATTATTTGTCATACATACCACAAAACATTGTGGTGAAATTTATAACAATTCAAAAGGATAAAATGCATACTAGGATACTGAGTCGTCAAAAATGCTTCGATTTAAGGGATGAAATCGTACTTTGAAACTCTATATCGAGATTTATAGAGTCTAAAGGTATCAAAGATTAGAAATAAAGAGTGCTATCGAGAGAGTTTGTCCTTGTTGTCGCCTGTGTTGAGAGTAAAGTACGCCACGCAATGTAAAAAGGCTACGAAAACGTATAGAGAGCGCAGTAACGTATCAACATCGAAGCAAATAGGAACACATACTGAGTCGTTTAACTAAAGGATTTCTCCCCTTGTCTCCCGTACTAAAACAGTTTTACATTTTACAGACGACGCCTAAAGTACTTATAAGTAAAGCATAGATAAATCCTAATTTACCTTCCCAATATAACTTTATATACTCAAGTTGATCTGCAATATAATTACTCCAGCACTTCCACGTACTAAACATTTATATATTTTCCATATTCACACGTTTTCGCTCAATTCCCGTGCACAAGGTCACAATGAAGAAGAAAAACCGCATAGAATAGACCATCACAGTCCGGTATGGTGCGAATGAATGGAACTTGACAATTTGGTATTGTGTATCGGTAGGGCGACAATCGTGCTTATTATTTATGGACAGGGTTTCTAAACAGTTTTTTTTATGTAATTATAACAACATAGTTCTGGTTTTTGTAAAGTATACATAATTATTATGTACAGAGCATTAAAAAATCTAGTATTGCATTATACGGTTGTAACTTTTCATAATTTGATGTGTAATGTTATGATGATAAGTTATAGGTACTAAGCTCGTAGGATTGATGAAGTTCTATCAAAAATTTGTTCTCTTAGAAGTCGATATAATAATAATTAAAATATATTTTTTCGTAAGAAAAGAACTCCGACCCAAACAGATTATAAATTAATTCTACAACATAAAAATATGTACTTTTATTTCAAAGTCAAATTAAACAATTTTTTAATATTTTTACGACCATTAAATATTAAGTTTGCCTTAAAATCTTTTAGACTTAGGTATTGTTGTTTGGAAAAGCAAAACAAATAAAGATTTTAATAGCTTACATAACGTAGTACTGTGTCAAATAGGTCAGAACCTTACAATGTTTACATGTTACTTGGTTTATTTACGCAACAGTACGGAGTTTTTATACGGGTATCTCAATGTGGGCCAGAGTAACTTTCGAAATATTAAGAATGGCGTTTGTGCCGACTAAAAAAATATATTTGTTAAGCGTTAACACCTTATGTTAATCAAACAATTGCAAGTGCCAAATAATTACATGTAATGACATATTTAAAAAAAGCATCATCTTATTGTTTCTTATAAAAAAATAAATATCTCAAGCGTAAAAACAAAACAACTCGACAGATTTTAAAACAGATATAACTACATATTGACTGTGACTTGCCAGTTACAAATTTTGTCCCACAAAACTTAGCTCTATGGTGAGCCTATGGTATGATATAATGCTCGGTGGTAATAGCTCGCGAGACGGCATTGTTTGTGCAATGACAACTAATTATATTGTAAAAACGAACGCCAACACTATGTTAATGGAATACGAGTAGTAAAAGAAGTATTACGACATTTTTCTAATAAATAACAGATCAGAAGGAATCTTTTAGATTTGGTCATAAAAGTGTGATCCCGAATGTAAATCCCAAAAAACCTATAAGCTTCTTTCGAATGTACAGTAAATGACAAATGCAATCGTCCAATTATATAAATTATTCTTCCGGGGTTTACTTCAACTGCCTTCATAAAAAAAACACACGGCAATATTTATGTATAAAAACTTTGCATAGATAAATATTTGACCCTAATAGCGCCTCTTAGCTAAGGTAACATGGCCTAGCATTGCGTTAACCTCCTGGGTTCGAATCCCAGGGTAACAAAAAATGTGGAAAAAAGTCTGATCAAGGGAGTGTGGTCAACTACTGTCTGTTAAAGCGCATAGTGAAACGGACAAAAAAAAAAGGTCGCCCCCAGGCCCACCAGGGGGAAACGTGGTTTCACACACATACAATAATCAGATATAACAGAGCTAAATCCGTCCATACCGTAATTCATGCCTGTAACTGACCCTACATATATGAGTCGGGTTCATTAAAGGATAAAGTGGAAATACTCCAACATTCTGAGGAATAAATGCTCAACAAATTTATTTTGGATGCGTTAAGCATCCGTTTATTTTTCTTAGGCTTTGGCTCAAATAAAGGTAAGCCCTTTCTACATTTTTAAAGGCTTTGCACAAATGTGTCTTATAAGACCCCTCGTTTATCGTAAAACAAAACCAAGCCTTGTCAGGAGTAAAGGCCCCCGATAAAAAACTGAAACATTTCAATGTTAGTGCATTGTGCTTACCTTTAGGGGGCCCAAAGAGCACTACATCCATGGCCTTTAGTGCTAACTTCTGTTTATGTATCGGGTCTTTGATACCCAGCACGTTGCTTAAATATTGCATGTTGTTTACGGCCAACCTGAAAATAAAAACCATATAAAACCCAAACTAAGATAAGCCCTAAGTTTTAGTTTTTAAAAATAGATGGCGCTGGCATTATATTCTAATAAGAATTTGGACTTTGATCACGGATTAGACTACACCTAAACGCGTTTAGTCGTAAGTTTGTCTTACTGTATCTGTATGGTAATTGGTATTCTATAGCGAAGGGTCCTGAATTCAGATCCTCGCGAAAGCAATAGATTGTTTTTGTTAGGGCAAGGCGCAGATGTAAGCAGAGATCAACTACTTACCTGTAAATGGAACCGAACAGTGAAACGGCGGACACCAAATCATGTTCGCCCCATGCCTTCACGTTATGTACAATATAAGCATATTATGAACTATATTATTATAGATTAGTTTTATTCGTATAATCTAATGAATTACAAAGACGTTGAAATAAAATAACAAACAGATTTTAATAAAATTAAATATGCAGAGAAGTTTTAAGTACCTCGGCAAAGTAGCACCGACAACTCGATGTTGGAGAAACAGCGATTTGTACTGAGGCAGATCAACCGATTCTGACAACCATTCTACCGTTTGTTCCACTGTCCAGTTGCGAACCTGATAAAAGTAAGTATTTAAAAAAATCTGACAGACTGAGAAACGTCAGAAACAGCTTCTTAATTATGACGTACTAACAGCTATAAAAACCCAAATAGCTTTGGCTAAAATGCCAAATGGCAAAAGCCTTATACAATTGGTTGACTTTTGAAAGTTTTTTGTTTTTTTAAGAGCTGAAATAAGATCATTTCTAAACGTGGAAACTTGTCATAGTCAAAAATTACCCTGATACTCTAGCGTGAGGAAGGTAATACGTATTTCAGTGCAAAATGCAGCTTGACAATATATGAAGGACGAGGAACGAATGGGGAGAGATAGAATTGATTGAAAGTACCTCAGAGCGGAGCCAGGCTTCCCACAGCTCTTTGACGGAAATGTGCATGTCATCGTTGTGGTGGAAGGCGCGCTGTCGCTTTTCGTACCCACTGTCATATTGCAGCTCTTCGCGAAGAAACTGTGAACACGCACCTTGAAATTAGACCATATAGTCAAATCTATAAAAATTATAAAGCTGAAGAGTTGTTTTTTAACGCGCTAATCTCAGAAACTGCCGGTTCGAATTGAAGAAATTGTAGACTATCACCAATAGGAACAGAGGGATATGTCGAAAAAACGGAAAAAATTATTGAGCATTGAGTATGATTAATTTTCTATTAATAATCTAAAAAAAAAAAATGACGGCAACAGCATATGTCTATCTTTTAAAACTTACACACAAGAACCGATGATTTTATGGTAATAAAAGTTCGTCGAAATACTTAATATGACAAAATAATGTTAGCCAAGTTACTTAGCAACGTATTAAGCAAGTAGGTAGTAGTATTTATGTGCCTTTCTCTTCCAAAACTGTTTCAAAGGATTTAACACACATTTAAGTAATTTCCATGAAAATTGTTTTGTTCATCGTAATGCTATGGTTGAATCTTCATTTCGTAGAACTGCAGTTAGACTAGCGAATTACACGATAAATTATACAGAACATAAATGTAAACTCAATATACAGTTTCTGCTAATCGTTAAAAAAATCTCGTAAGCTTATCGTCTTTCAAAGAAAGTCTAGTATGTCAGTGTGTTTGTTTAGCGAAACCGCTTTCTTGAAATCGTGCCATTTGAATGAACAATGCGGTGTTCCAGAGAATTATTTGAAAAGTAATTGGGTCATTACTCATTCGAACTGTTCTACATTAAACAATAAAAAGTTGAGGAAAACAGTAGCGTAGATTGCTGAAGCGTCTTCACACCTGGTGTGGCAGACATTTTAAGCTCCCACTCGATTACCTGACTTGTAACATTTGTCGCGACACTGTACTCACTGTGTATTATTATAGGGTTGTCCATAATCGTTAAAGGGGGGTTGAGAAAAATCACAAAAAAAAAAAAAAAAAAAGGGGGGGAGGGGGTATAGTAAGATATCTCGTGTATTTATTTTTTCGTCAAACGCGCGATTTTTAAACAAATGGTGTAGACATTTTTATTATGGTCCTTAATTTCAGAATAAATTAAGATTATAGTTTATACCTGTTTTGTATTTATATTAAGATAATATTCAGAAAATTTTAAGATTCTTTGTAGGTACTAAAAATACACGTGATGTTGATAAGCGGGAAGGGGGTGGTCTTAAACCTCACTACGTATCACCAATGGGGGAGGGGGCTTTAAAAATTCTAAAATAAGGTCAGTGATTAATGGACAACCCCTTATAAACCCGCCCCGCCTTCCTCGGGTGTAATGCTGATACTAAATACGTTACAAAAACCGTTAACGTTGTATATAAAAACCGTCCTCTTGAATCACTCCCTATCTATTAAAAAAAACCCGCATCGAAATTCACTGCGTTGTATTAAAGATTTAAGCGTAAGTACATACGAGACAGAAAAAGCGACTTTGTTTACACCATGTAGTTCTGTTCCATATTTCATGGCTTAACAAATGTAACAAATGTCGATAGGCATGACTCGAAGAAATTCGATGATGACGATCGAGATATGGTATCTTAATTGGTTAAATCAGCAACATGGATCGTTGTGGATGCCGGTTAATCCGCCGGTGTCACCAATTTTTTTCAATGTAAATAATTATTTTTTAATTGAAAAACATACGTAATATTTTATTAAACATCAAATCCAAATTAGCATCACAATTGCCCAATTTTTATATATATATTTTTAGTTAGTTAGTCTATTTATTTTTATTTTATTCCATTAAAATGAGAATTAATATTTTACGCAATATACACGTACACAAAGAATTATTATTGTCGAAGTTCGATCCCCGGCTGAGGACTTTTATAGAGATTGAAGAGTCCAGTCACACTTACATCATCACTCTCACTAAGGTCCACGTTTCCATTGGCATCATCATCCAGCTGGCGGTGCAGCTGAGTGATCGCTTCCAAACCGGCATGATCTTGGAGGCATGATGGCTCGTTATTGCACGCCAATACTGAAAATGGAGAACACAATGATTAATACTAAAGACAAGATATGTTGTAACCATATGGCACAATAACGAATAATTTTACTCATTAATATATCTACGCAGCTCTAAGTTATGCTTGAGGACAATGTATACAGTAGTAAGTAGGTACAAATTATATATTGTTTTATAAAACCTAAACACATGGGTGAAATTCGCATCAATACCTAAAGTTTAAAGTCACTATTTTTCTCAAAACATTCAAACTTTCAATGTATAGAAGCCGTAACTTATAAGATAAAAGAAATATTTTTTTATTTATGATATAAAAGCCTTTTTAATATAATTTCAAAATAATTTTGTGGATTTATTTTTCTATACCAATAAAGTAAGTTTTCTTATGGACAGATTACTATAAAATTGTCTTACATAGTTTAGAATATTTACAAAAAATTATAGCAAGGTAATAGTGTTAATAATATAAATAATTTATCAATATAATAAATAATATGCTCTAGTTAATAAATTACATTCAAAATTTTCATCTTCGGAATTAAAACAAACACACCCACACACATTTGGACATGAGAACAAACTAAAACAAGAGCATTTCTTTCATTCATACAAAAAAAAATTGTGATAAAAGTTAATTATAATTAATATTTAAACGAGTTAATAAACTAAATTGTAAAAAAATAGTACTCAATAGTCAAGGTGAACAAACTTTTCGATCTAAATGCGATGTTTCTCGAACGGTCATACGAAAACGTTTGACCACGTGCTTTAAAAACAAGCGTGATTTATCAGAGTTTTCTATTTGATTTGTTACAAAATAATTAAATACAGCGAAACGGTGAAATTTCGACATTATTTTAGACACGTTTACTTATAGACCGAAACACTAAACTGATTGTAAATTAATTTCATTATAATTAAACGGTAGCTAAATTTAGATTGTTCTAAAAGGACATTGGAATATTGACATGACCAACGGTAGTATACTTTTGTAATTGCATTACATGTCAGCTGATCTACACAAGTAGCACTGACTGATTAATTTGTTATCAGTCACTTCGAAACAAACAATTTAAACTGAGTTATTTGTATCAGACCTAGTTTACTATATTTTTGATTGAATACTAAATCCTTTATATAGAAGGTCTTGATAGGTTGTTTATTGTTTCCCACAAAAACTTACCTATAGAGAAATCAAAAGAAATGGAAAAATATGACTGGAAAATGAGCCTCATAAAGTTTGAGAGTGAGTGAAAACCCGTTTCCCCCCGTGGGACATGGGGCGAACACATTTCAGCGTCCGTTTCACTAATCGGTTTTAATTACAAGCTAGTTGTTGATCAGGCTCTACCCTTCTCCGAAAAAAATCTATGGTTTCCCCGGTTTCGAACCCGTGGCCTCTTGCACTTTACGTAAACACGTTTAACCTTTTAGCTACAGATACGATCATGACTAAGTTTAAATGGTATAAAAATAAATCGCAATACAAAAATACTGTTTCAACAGCAACTAAAATATCACAAAGCGAACTCATCGTACAAACATGCTTCGTAAATTCCTTTTTAATTGTTATTCACACGCATCTATTTCGTTTATGACAAGACAAACAAACGTTACATGAAGATGTTATATTTTCAAGGCGGGCGAACAATTTTTGTTAGTTCACAGCTGTGATTTTAACTGTTTAATAACTGAATTTGCACTACATATATTAATGCAAAGACAGTAATAATCGTATGCAGCGCGTTAAACATGGGAAGACCCGGGTTTGAATCTCGGAAAACTTGAGTGACTAATAATTTGATTTTAATCTTTTTATTATAAACATGCATTACAATTACAAGCTTAACAATAAAAACGTTAGTTTGGTTAGATTTAAAAATCGAAAATAAATTGAAAAATATTTCGACTCGGGCAGGACTTGAACCGGCATCGTCAGCGTTCCGTGCTGTTGCCCTCCTGTCCTACCCGAGTCGAAAATTTTTTCAATTTATTTTCCATTTTTAAATTATATGTATTGTAAGTGCTTTCATGTGCAATATCATGTAAAAAATAATAAAGTTTTGAATGGTTAGATTTGTTTAGACTGTATGTTGATAGAAACACCCACAGTACTAAAGTTTTTACAGGCATTATTTGAAGTAGCTTTGTCTAGTTCTCGTTTAGCAAGCACAAATGGGCGAACGTTAGGGTCATTGAACTGCAGTAAACAGTTAGTCACAAATTCGCCTGATTATTTGAGAGATTGCATCCTCTAATTTCGTTCCCGATGAAAGATATTAAATAACTATGGCATCGTAACTTCCATTAAATTCATATTTCAAGTATGTAATTTGAAAATTGGCTCCATATAACATTAGCGTGAATCGCAAATTGTCATATTAAATAAAATTAGTAACATAACTTTACGTTAACATGATTTTTAAACTTTTCGATGGTCTATTGGTATATACCATTTGAGTCTATTGTTGTGTAGTGAAGTTTAGGGGATCCAATCTTACCACGGGCAACCGAATCGGTAAAACGTTAATTTTAGAATTATCCATAAGGAAATTCTTCTAGTTTCTGTGATTTTGACAGTACATTAAGCCCGGTTATTACTACAAATTTAGTGGCGGTAGTTGTTAAAACCCACTCCTATGCGAGAAATGACCTTGATGTAACATTGAGATATAAATAACTTGAAACAAAACTAGTAATCTAGTCCAATCCGTCCTATAGAAATAACTAACTTAGAAAATAACCGGAGAATCTTTTGTTTAATATTCTTCCTTTAATGTGTATAACTAAGCAATTAAACAATTAGTGCGTATGGTTCAGAACCTCTTTGAGTAACTAGAAGTAATTAAGACAAGGTTTCCTCACTCAAGAGTACGAAAATCGGTCGCATTGTTATTTGAATGAATACTTCATTCATTATTGAAAATACTAATGATGTTGGCAAACACCAATTAACAAGTAACACGTAGTATTATTGATGTTTTTACTAATATCTGCGACTTCTTAGTTTTTTATTGCTAATTAAAGTGGCCTACTTGTACAGATTAATGTATCTAATATTTTTCATTTGTCAAAAAAAAGGATTTTCTACATCATATAAAGTGCTTCTTACAACCGCAAAAAAATAATTACTTCAAGTTAGCCACTTGAAATAACTCAGGGAGGTCCAGATTAGGATATTCAAGACATATATATTGCATATCACACAAGAACTATGCATAAATGAAACCGATTTTAGATAATATACATATACATAATTAAGAAAATTCTAATTTCCAATCCCAAAGAACCGAGTTGTTCATATAGCTTCTCTTTTTTGATCGACGTTAGTATGGATGTTATTTATAGACTATATATCTTTAAACAGTGAATCCAGCCACTTTTAATTTTTTTGCAAACAAGTCGAGAGTCCACTATTACTAATGCAAAGGTTTTTGTTATCTCAAACAATCTATGAACACGTGCAAGTTGATTGATTGGTAACGCAGGCGTGAATACCTATTCTTGTTTGACAATATACATGAATAATGACTGTATTGACTACAATATACTGGGTATCCGCTATAACAAAATAAAGGGAAAGATTATTCCACACAGTACTTACTGTAAACAAACGTAGATAACCGAACAACGCGATTTTAATAAACAACTACACCGAACTCTTAATATCGAAAAATATTTAAACAATAATCTTCTACACTACATAATAAAAAGACTTTGAAAACCCGACCTTAAGATCTAGAAAGAAGCTGACCTAAGCTGAGAAAAGAATAAAAAAAAAGATTGAAGACTCTTTCAGAAAAGATTTGATTATTAATTGAATAGAATGTAATAAAATATATGTATTGAGGGTAGAACGATATTTAAATTTCGTTTCTTCTTGTTACTTGACCCAGCAAACATGACAATATTTATGGTTAGTACGGCTTTATGGTGCTATCGTAGGATATCACTCTTCTAAAGTTACTAATTCTAATGAAAAAGGAAAAATGCTTTGCAAAAGTGCTTTCAAATATAGCAAGTAGGTACTTACGAATAACAAAAGCTTGCTCGAGTCCAGCTACAAGAAAAAACACTAGCATCAGATATGTTCTCTTTGAAAACTCAGAATTCATATTACTAACGACACTGGTAACAATTTTCAAACTCGAATCAAATATAAATACATAATCCAATTCGCACGTTAGTCCAATATACCACAATAATGAGACTAATTTAAATGAGGAAAATTTAATATTTGCAGTACTTAAAATGAACACTTTATGACGAATACAGTTGAAGTCATTGTAATTATTGTTATTAATTACAATTACCGTATATGAGTGAGAAAAATAAAGAAATTTGAAACTAGGCGAAATTTTAATCAGTTATTGTTTAAAATTGAAATTGTATGTGAATCATCAATTAGTCAAATAGCGGATAAAAAAAACGAGTTCTTCAAATGACTAATATTTATTTTTGTACCTTGTCTTGCATACCCACCGTTAGTAAACAAAAATTTAGATGCTATCTTGGTATTTTAGAGGAGATAAGACCTATTATATACGTACACTCGAACCAACCTACGTCGTTCCACTTAATTACTACTTTGCTGAGTTTTTAATAAAACAAACGCTACAGTGGAGTTAATTTAATCTAAAGACATGTCAATTGCTTTTTACATGTTCTTAGTCAGGATGTTTTGTCATATTTTTAGACGCCATTCTTTAGCCATAACTGGATCGAATTCACCACCTTTTCCTTATACTCAACTTTAAGCTGTGTAATTTTAATATGTACACATTTGAGTGACGTTAAAACGCGCCATTCATAAACCATATACCGTCAGAGATGGCGTCATACCTTATGGGCGGCCTCATCAAAACTGAGCAATTAATCAAAGTAGAAAACAAAAGTCGACTCGTGTCCCGCGATCGCATCCAGCCACTTAACATTCTCTTTATTGGGATCAATTATTATCCATTAATGCTTCGTGCACAACGCAATGACGAAAACTTAACTAACATCATATC